CCCCCCCCCCCCCGCGCCCACAAATCTCACACATGATTTTTTTTAAATGTTTATATAAGCTCTTAACATGCAAAGCAGATTAGGTGGCGTTAATACTAAACAACAACAACACATTTCTGCGATGAGTCTCCACACAATAAGGTCAAATCACGCCGGGATGGCAACAGAACGTACTGCGCGAAAATAACGATTTTGTTTCCCCCACATAAGTGCATGTTACTGAAGTGTATAAATGGCAAGATGCTACACTCACAAACATGATTAAGAAACCGGTGTAAAAAAAAACGCTCTCTTTCAACTGGTCGGGGGTCTGAGGCTAGAAATACACCGTTCAAGTTATCCTGACGTCGTTTTAAGAAAAAAAAATGTTTACTTCCCCGTCCACCAAATGCCTGACTCTGCTCCTGCTGGCGTTCACCACAGCGTGCCTTTGCGCGAGCCTGCCCGCCCACAGGCGCCGGAGAGCGATTAACGACACCCCCATTCTGACCTTGGAAACGACAACAACGCCGGCACCACCGGTGACTGACATGTGGGACGAGTCCACCACCCCTGAGCAACAAATGACCACATCGGACAGCGTGTGTACATACAACCAAAAGACGTACGCAGTGAGTATGAAGGAACAATCCATTTTTATTTTATTTTATTTTTTTTTACAATTATGAAAAACTTATTTTAAGAAGGACTTCTCTTTTAGTAAAAATTTAAGAGGAATAAACAATAAGTATTCAAGGTTACCATGGTGACTCCCATGGGCGCCCGCAGAAGACTTTCTAGGGGGGGGGGCAAAAAAATCAATTAACTTTCCAGGGGGGGGGGCAAAAATTTTTTAGTAATGTTTTAATATAGTTTTAATTTACTGTAGCGTATTTGTATGGTGAACGAACGGACAGGACATCAGCTTAGTTACTTTCTCTTTATTTTCTCTTTACTTTAATAAATTTTGTGTCTATTTTTGTCTAAAATTTTTTTATCCAATCAATCTATGGGGGGGGGGGGCAAGTGTCCCCCTTGCCCCTACCTGCGGGCGCCCACGGTGACTCCTACTGTGTCTTATTTCATTTTATAAGATCATAGTTATAAAAAAAAATATATTATTAGCAGCTCTACGTATAAAATTTATGTTAACTCTTAATAAAATATTAAATAGATTAATTTACAAATGTTTTAGCCTTTAATTAAAAATAATGTTTAAGGGAAGATTATATGTTCTCTTATGCTATTCAAATGCACCTAAATATAGAAATGATGCCAATTTTAAATACAATATGAATCTTTCATCTCCATGTG